GACCACGAGTGCCCCTGTCGGTCAACCAATCACACACCGCGGTACCCCGTGTCATCTTACCTGCGGTACGTGTCTGTACCGCACACTTTGAATGGCTGCATCTGTATGTATTAGGTAATCTATTCTGTCTAATTACAAAGAATGAAAAAAGGTGGATTAAATATTTTTAATAGTTGATTGAACCTGTTTTTGCACATAATTATAAACAGTAGGTGAAATGAGAAAGGAGTTCTGTGCTACTTGATCTTCCTTTCCCATACTGTATGTACATTTAAGGTTTAAACAAAAGGCACATAAAGAAAAAAAGATGTATGAATGAATCCTTTTTGATAACTGCAATGTTAAAAGTCCACAAATAACTGGATACCATACTTGAAATGAGTACTTGCAATTGATGTTGTGGCAACAATGTAATTCTTGGCATTTTGTTGTATTGCTATCAACTTTTAAGTCCTTTGCACTTACTTTCACTCACTGTTTATCAACCTTGTACGTCAGCCTTCCTATATCAACCTTCAATAGCAAAGTACAATAGCTCCTGCCAGCCTGTGTTCAAAAGATTCCTTTCTTTTTGGCAATGAAATACACAGTTCACTAGTCTTACAAAAGTAACACCAAGCAATATTTTTTAGTCTTCTGACAGCAGATATTTTTTTCATGGAACATCTGGCATATGTGAGTTAGGATTAGTATTAGGATTAAGGTTTGGGCTGGTATTTGTGTCTTGGTAAGGGGTAGTGGTTGGTTTGGGAATATAGTTACTGTACAGTATGTAGCTCAAATAAGGCAGTTGTCCAAATAATTGCTGTGCCATACTGTACAATAACAGGGAGCTACAGTCAGCATATTAAAATATAAAGCTTTTGGTTCTAGCAGTGGACATGCGAACCCAACCTGCAACAAACACATACATAAATGTTGAGTTCAGCATCTTTAATAAATATTAAATCACAAGGATCAGCTTCTATTACTGTAAAATGAGAAGGACATGAACTTAGTCCCATTAACAACAAAACTCAATCATTCAAAGTGTGGGTATTTTCCAATGAAAAAATAACAAAGGTGTTATTTTCATCAGATGAGTGCAATGTATATTCTAATATGTAAGCATGTAATCTGTAGACTAAAGTGTTTGTAAAATGTCTAATGATTTTGCATTTATAAACATAATAAAATGCAATTTCTAAATTTTCATTATTAATGAAGCATTTTTTCTCCACACCTGTGTAAGCTCATTGCTATCTACAAGTCCGTTGTTGTCTGAGTCAAAGTATTGGAACATCTGGTCTACCAACAGTCTCTTCAGGGACATTTTGTCTTCATTTTCCCCTTCATTGACCTGTCTGATGTACTTCTGGTTCTGCAGATCAAGCAGCTGATTTTTTAACTTTCCGTAGTCACTCATCTGACACTTGTCACCTGCAGAATGTGATGAAACAAACAAAAACAACAGACATCAAAAATGTTTGATACTTATGTTCATTGGAAAATCTGTGTATACTGTAAATGTATTTGTATTCAAACATCAAGTTTTTAACACCATGAAGAAAAGCTGTGCTGATAAATGTTGCAGCAACCTGGAGCTTATACTGGAAGCATAGAGCGTAAGGCAGGACTGAGTGCATACAGTATGTTGTTTCACTCTGAATGGCCAACTGCTTATTTTAAGATTGAATTAGCCAAAATTGTTTATAGGAACTGAAAACTGCAGTATAGCCCTTCGGCCCAAAAAAAAAATGGGTATATCACTCTATTTCCATCTAAACAAGATAACATTGCTAAATTGTGTAAGGTGAAGCACTTTTAAGCAATGTCAGGTAAGTTATGTTAACTTCGATAGTAATAACAAAAAGGTATTATGAGGAACAACTGCTTCTATACATTTTATAAAGGTTTAAATAGAACATTCTAATTTTATAATATAATTATATAATATTACAGAATCTATAGATACATCGGTTTAATCTATTTATAGTTAGTTTCTCTAAAATACTGCCATAGCCTTCAATAGTTCACTGCCATTGAAAGATCATTTTGTGATCTGTCATTTAGTATAGATACTGTACAGCTGCTTTTACAGTAGTCTTATCTCCTAAATACCAGTGATGTTAATTTATAAGATGAAAGGCATTCTATTGACATTTCTAATTACAGCTGCTTTGATAAGGATGGGAAAGTTGACAAGATAAAAGTGCAGTCAGTATTTAACAGAATTTCAAGAAACAATAAAAATTAAAATGTAGTTTACCCTGATTAATTTTAACACTCATTAAATGTCTTCTTTCATGATATACTGCCACAAGTACTTTTAAGTTAAATGAAGTTTAGCTTTAAATTTGATTTCTGGTCTTAGGCAAGACGTTTTTGTCCTGGGCTCTGGTGAATTGCATAATATGTTGTGGGATGCCAAAATATTCCAATTTCATGCTGGTAAAATTAAAGTGTAAAAGATATCAACAAAAGTAACACATCCTCTTACTCACCAAAGGCTACATATGTGATTACTCATTGGGGTCTCACACCCTTATCCAGAGTTATTCAAAAAGGCTTACATTAAAAGTACACAGAGCATTATGCATGCTAAAAGTCTAATTAAAATGATAAAATGATTTTCATCTAAAAACTACAAAATATAAATTACGTAAAATTTGTTGTAACAAATATAGAGGTTAAGAAAATTATTCAAAATCCGATGCCCACAGAGGCTTACATACAGATCGGGGAAATGTTCAGTTGACATCCCAGGGAGGGTTAGGGTTAGGATTCACACACTACTTGGGCAATTCAAAGAAATAATTATAATCCCAAAAATTCAGAAATATGCCAAGAATATATGAGAATATACCTGAAGGTACAAGTGAGACAATGGGATTATTTCTGTATTTCTGCAAACGATGCAGACTTGTTGCTTGAAGTTGGCTTCACTCCCGGAATGTAAATGAGGAACTAGTTAAAGTCAAGAGAAATGATCTAAGATATAAGATGCTTATTCTGCATGTTTAGAATCACTCAGACATTTATACAGGAAAATTATGCTTATTTGTACATTTGAGCAGTTTGTCATGTATCACTAGGTAAACTCATTGACACACAGTTTTATGGGGTGCGCTAAACAGTTTGCTTCACTAATCTTTGCACGAACTTTATGTGATGTATATCCATATACAGACATACCGTACTTCTGTACGTAATCTTTAGTTACTTATTTTATGCATATGTAATAAAGGGACTACTACTACTACACAGACACCTGGACTTTGTCATTTGTATGACACAACATACCCAAGCGGTTGGCATAGTTAGAGACACCTAAGTTCTTTGTTTTTTGGCACAAGAGAAATAAATTGTAAGCAAACTGGAGATAAACAAATATTAAAATTAAATACAGAATATTATAGATTAACAGTAACAATAACACAAACTTAACAATATACAACACAACATACATCTTATAATTTACTCTATTTACAAACAAGGCATGTCAGTGGCCTATTTCCTGAACAACCAGAAAAGCCCAAACTCCAAACCTAGTACTCATAAATCCTACATATTGTGTAAACAGGACAACAAGAGAGATAAACCTGCATCCTAAATAAAACAAAATGCAACCTAGAGCTAAATCTCTTTATATAAACCCAGAAGCCCTAAAAAAACTAATAGGGCCCTATCTCACTATTATAAAAATACATCTTTCACCTGGAGAGTAAGCCTTCAGCCTGAGAATTCCTTGTAATAGAAATCACTTTCCTAAAATAACAGAATGGCAAGTCCTCTTGAACAACTTTCAAATATTTAGCTAGAATCCGATCTTTTACAGTAGGTTAACTTGAACAAGGTCTTCTTGCTTGGCATACTTCTTCTTTCTATCTGCTCTTCCTGCTCCTCTTTTTGTGTCTGTGTCTCCCCTGCTTCTGCTTACCTGCTTCTCATCGATGACGAGTCTTAATGCTCTACCAAGGAGTTAATTAAGGTAAAGCAGAAGATTCCTTTTGATCTGCCATCTACAGCTCTGCAAACACTTTCTATCAATTGTTTCTAGATCCTGAAAAACTTCAATAGCCACTTCCACAGCTGTAACAATATTATTTAGTATGATTAAACTTTAATATTAAATGTATGCTAACATTAAGATAGCATTATTAGCTTTCTGAAACATATCCACTGTCTTATGCATAATTCAATTAGATTAATTGCTCAGCTGAGTAGAAAACATGACATGAAGTATAATTAGTAAGATACCATAAATTCACTAAAATTAGTGATTTTAATCACTAAAATTAATCTTCTAAAATACCTGTTGTATTTAAGGTTCTGCAATTTAAGGTACTTTAACTGAAAGCACCAAAGGCTGTTTCACTATGAACATGAGTTACTTCTTAACTAATGTCCAGTGTGTCCAATGTGGTAGACAGAAAACAGTGATATTAAATTGTGAATCATAACATGAAGACAATGTCTTGGTGATGAAAGCTACCTTTCTTTAAATAAAATACTTGAGGGGTTGGTCCTGTTGCATAAGTATTTGTTAATCCTCTTAAATATGATTTTTCCATTTTCCTCAAAAGGTTCTTTATTTGGATGTCAGTTAGAATGGTCACTTTTTCTAATCAATTCCTCCAGCAACAGGCTGAGATATCTGATGATGCAGGGGTCTATTCTGAACAATGGCATACAGTAGATGACAAATGTAAATGCAGAGCTCTTAGTGCCAAAACAAGTTGTGTATAGTAAATGAGCCACAAATCTGACAGAACCCATCTTTGCACAATTAAATGATTTTGATGTGTGGTTTGAATTCTGTGACGTGTATTGGCTCAGTGACACACTAAACTGTAAAAAACCTTATTACAATAGCAGCGATGAATAAACACATACTGTATAAGCTGAAGAGCATTACAAAATGTATTGTATTTTTTATTAGTTCTAATGCAAATTCATTGCAATTTTAATGTCATTATATGAGTATATACTGTAAATATTGTGTGACAGCATTGAATGAAAGTGTTTTTTTTCTTAATAACATTATGAATAATAATGCACAGTGCTGTGCAATTCCAAAATATTTGAAGATAGAGCAAAGAAGAGAAACAAAAACATTAATATAGTGTAATAACCCCTTGTTATGCATGAATTCACCTTATGCCAATCTGAGTATCTGTGCAAAATTCTGTTTATACTATTTTCCTTGCACTAGCCCTAATTCTGAGTATCTACAGCTGAGAAGCATCTGTGAGCTGCGATGCATGCTGGCATGAAGGTTCGTTTTACAAGTGGAGGAGAAAACAACCACATGGTCTGATATCTTTCTTTCTCTGTCAGCTTCTTTTTCGAATGGACTTGTCTGAGGTTTCTGTCACATTCTTAAAGTGTTCTGTGCTTATTGTACATTATTGCACTGGGCTTACTCATGGTAGGTAAGGGATTACTGTAATATGATTTTTTTATTTTTTACAGTAATTCTGTATTTTTACCACATCTGTATATAGTTACTTGTGTGATGCCACTAAAAGAGAAATACAACAATGTCCAAAAAAGGAAAACAAAAAAGAAATACATTAGTTACCTCAGGTTTATGGGATTGGCAAGATGGTTACACAAATGTTAATTGGACTCAGGTTAGGAAAATGCTAGTCACAGCAGGACCTCAACATAGTTTTCGTGACATTAAGTCATTTTAAACCTAGGATTGTGTGGTTTTGCATTATCCTGCTAGAAAATTGACACTTCCTGACTGGAAGGGAAAAACTGTTGGCTTTGATGTATTGCTGGGCAGTGAGATGTACACTAATGCAAGAGCTATCATAACACATTTTTTCCATCATGATTGACAAAGGAAAAACAGTATTCGAACACCACTCTGTTGGCCACCATCTCAGATATTTCCTGGTTCAGAGAAGTTGGTGGTTTCGTCTCTCAGTTGTCAACATGTTACTCCCAAATATGTTCTGAGCACCCTTTTTTTCAAATGATAATCCATAGTCATTTGCTATTACAGTACATAGACTATTTCGTCCTAGAACATGATTGTTTTGCTGTTCTGTGTTTTCGATTGGATTTTTACACATATTACTAATCAACAATTTTGGCAACTTTTACTAAACACAAATGATAAACACTGAGAACCTCTCAGAATTTTTGTTATCTAAAGAAATAATACAGTATGAATCAAAAAGCAACAAACACATCTTCTTAATAGTTATATTGTAAGTAACCTAATCTTTGCTCCCCATATAAGCTACTGATATAAAATGTAGATGGTTTAAATTATGTTTTTTTGCTCCTTATAAACCTTTTTTTATTTTCAACAACAATCAAAATGAATCATTACCTAAATAGAGTTATACTCATAGTCACTCCTTAGTCTTTAATATCTGCAACAACCAATCAAAAACAAATCTGAGGGTATTGCTGAGAACAAA